GAGACGTAAACTTCTTAAGAATAACATCAAACGTTCAACCAAATTCTAATTCGCGTATGTGAATGCGGTTAGTTGATGGCAACACTCTTCATTCTCTTATTTTCTGAGTATCGTTGGCTCGTCCGGGCCTAACAGGGTTTTTATTCGTTTTAACAAGGTTTTCATTCTTTTCCTTGCCGTTACAATCACTCTCATAGCTGTTATCATCGAAAGTATTCTCTTTTACTAATTTCTCATTCATTTCATTCATTAGTTAAAGTCAAATTCTCATTCTATCAAATACACTCTATAATTCATCATTTGACTGTCGAATGTTGCTGAGCAATGATATGCGATTGTTGTATTGTTGATTTCGGCTGTTAACACTCGTCAACGCACCCAGTAAATAGTATTTGCTACAGAATAAGAAATTGATTCTAACTGTGAAGTGAAATGAGACGAAGTGAATGAGAAAAACTCATCAAGTGAACAGTATTCGCATGAAATAGCTATGAGAGTGAATAGAACACGTCTGAAAAGAATGAGAATTCATTTGAACCAGTTTGAAGTGAGCGTGTCGTAGACAATAGCTTTTCATGCAATCATAATCGATTGCAATCATGAGCGACGACACATCTTGCATTTGCATTACAAAAACTGGAGAGAAATATTTGTGATGGCTTATGCTTACATATTGTTCTTCAGAATTCGTCATTAGAAAGGTAAAATGAAACAAATGAAATGTAAAGGAAATGTGCCCACTAACGAGATGTTTTTCGGTGTGCTGTCCTTTGGAAAACTAGAATTATAAGAAATTTCTGAACAACTGAATCGATCCGATGTATCTATGATGAAATCTGCAAGCACCAATGAAAGTTTCTCGTTTTTCTTTCAGCTCAAAACATGGTCTGTTCAACAACTCATGCAATTCTAAGTGTTTGAGGCACCTGAACGTGTGAACCACTGCTCTACAGATCCATATATAGATATGCCATTCTCCTAGATGAGGCTCTGCTCCACCAAAATCTCAGCAATTGTCTTGTCACTGACTGGTTCCTATGTTCAAGCATGTAGATGCCTTATAAGTGACAACTGCAAAAGGATTGGCTCATCCAAGGCAGATAACATGCTCACAAATGACTGCACTCGTACTTTTCTAGAGTAATATTGAACTCATTGATGCACAACATTTGAATAGACAACTGACTGACTGGCTTGCATTTCAGAGCAAACCTTCTTAATTGATAACATAGGCTTTCCCTTGTAACATTATCAAGAAATATTCCATTTTCGATAGTCCAAAATTAAGCATCCATAGAACTAGCAAAAATGAGAACATCTTTCATGTGTTCAATTGAATAACTTTTCCTTTCTTATTGAATGCATAAGTAGGCACGAATGAACAATGCCATGAATATCAATGAGAAGATCAAATTTAAATCGAATGGGACCGTTACCTAGTTGCTAAAAGGAATGAATGTTGCAAGTAAAATGGAATGAATGAAAGCTTGAAGGTTTGAATGAGCACAGAAACAAGATGAATGTCTAGACAACCTAAAAATCGTTTTAAGATGTTTTTATGACTGTAACCAGTTAGTTGCTTAGCTAGTTTCTAGCCACTGAGGAAGCTGAAAGCGATCACCATAGTTTTGTTTTGTTTTTGTTTTGTTTCTATGAGAATCGCCTTCGAAACACTCTCATTGCTGATCCAGTGATTGTGCATTTCAAGCTTTGTTGGTTGATATTTACATCAGAGTCACCGACACAAATATTGTTTAACTAAGTTCCCGATTTATGGAATTGTTTGAATGAAGTTCATTGTTCCATTGAAAATCAGTGATTATTTTGAGCAGTTCAAAAACAATGTGGAAATTTACGACAGCTAATCAACAATTCGACAAGAAAATGTGCAAAATTGGACTCATCATCCTCATTGGTT